TCACCCTAGGTTGATCCACTCGTCGTTTCCCATTCGGATTCCACCCGAGTGATGGCCTCGCAAGTGATGTCATTTCACGGCCTCCTTAGTGCATGTCCAACCCATCTCAAATTTCTCCTACATATTCGTTGAGCGATAGGTTCTGGTTGGTCAATTCCCAGCCAGAGATTTTGTTGCTAACTCTTCCTGGTCATTTGATCTTCAATAGGGAGTGAAGGGGGGTTTTGATAAAAGTCTGCAATGGCCTGTTGGAAATGCATTGCTTGACGCGCTGGTCAAGTTTTTAACCCATACCGGAGAACTGACTTCACATTTAATAAGTAAACTAGAGTTGCATAATATGAGGATTAATTTAATGAGTCACTTATGATTGCGACACATATAAAAACTAAGGGAAATACGGAATTCAGTAAGAGTTCTCAAAAAATACAAAACTTATCAGGAGTCAGAAAAACAAAGAAGTAAAACAAAATTAAGTCAGTAGAAATCAACAGGATTTTTACTATGACAGTAGAAGTGGTTGAATAATTTTTTTTATGCATAGCTACGGTTTTTCTAACTGAGTAGCTACACCTTCAACAATGCTAAACAGACGAAGGCGTGTTGCCTTTGGCAGGATATTCTTCACTTCATAGATCAATTCAAAGGAGATGTTTGTCGACATAGAATGACTAGTTTTGACGAGGTATTCGATTAAGCTAGATTTAAGCGTAAACTGTTGGAGTTCATCATGTTCACTGTCAGGAATTCTATTCAACTATATCACTGGATGTGCATCACATTATATACAGAATTAAAAATACAACATTCAGAGAAGAAACTCTGATCAACGAATGTATCATCAGTCTGTACATCGTGTATAAGTAACCTTAAGGAGACTATGCTCCTTCAAGAAATTTAAACAACAAATGTGAGCACTCCTTACAATAGTGTGAAATGAGACACAATATGGGTGATTACAGTCACAGGTTAGTATTAAGCAGTAAAACAGGTTATGCAATGTACAAAATTGTTTACAGGATGTACAGACCTTGAAAAATAGTGTAACACTAATAAGACTAATGGAAGTGGTAGACAAACAGAAACATCCTAATGGGACATTAGTTAGTCACTACTGTGCTGTGTCTAGTCTTTTGTTTGGTGCAGACTGAATTCTGTCTGAATTATTGTTATTGGATGGTCGGAGGCAATCAGCAGGAAGCCTTGCCTCGCCTAGATTTCGTGCTAGTTGGCACTCACCAGTCAACAAGGCATATCTGCAATCTTGAAGGAACTCATGAACCTTCTGAGATACGAACCCGCATCCCCCGATGCTGCAACCAGAGACGTTCCCAATGAACTATTTGAACCCGTGATTGACCTCCTCTAACACTTTATTGGATACTTTTATTAGACTAGTCCTTTATTTGGTGCAGGCTGAGTTCTATCAGTCAAGTTTGCAATGTAGCCATCATTCTAAATAGCTCACCCTGACTGCCTCCAACCATCTTATATAAACAAAAACACTACATAGCGAGGTAGAAGGTTTAATAAGACAGATTTTAACACTTCAAAAAATACACCCAATCAAAATAATGAATGGAACAAATGAAATAATACCGAAAACTGCTCAGAGTGGAAGTAGCAATAATAATAACGATCGTCATAATTAACGAAAGGGATACAAATTAAACAGATAAATATTTTTTTCCCGCCTTTTCATTCTAAGGTCAAGGTAGGAATAGGGACTGTATGTAAATTTCTTTTTTACACAATGGTCTGGCTTAAATTCATGAATAGTCGAGTCCTCCAGTATCTTTAGAAGTTTGAAAATAAAAAAAACGCAGAAAGTTGGCATGAATTGGATAGCTGACCCAAATGTGATTGTCAGTGTTGGATGGAGGACAAAATTCGACCAGATGTACTAATGTATCTAGATTGCTACTCCCTTGCTTTTTCCTTTGGCAGAAAAGGTATTATCTTGGTATTATAGTTCATTACCTTAAATCAAACTCTAATCGAACCCTATATGGAAGATATTTGAATGAATTTCGACACTACTGAGAGAAATTTGGAGTCACTCCTACAGTATGTTGAAGAAAGGTATACATTTCTGTCTTTCTAACATTTTTATTCTGAAATATACTCCTTTTTGTTTAAATTTACATTTTTTTCCCTCTGGTGGGTTTAGAGTTATTGATACGCTCCTAGATTTAAGTTCCGCTGCAAATCGACCCCACATACCTCTAGCTGCATAGAAAATTTTTCATTCTTGAGTCACATATAAAAAGCTGAATTAAGCATGCAGATGACAGCAAGTCAAAGTGAACAAAAGATTTTTGAACTTCTGGTTGGTTTAAGAATTAGTCTTGTCATTAGATGGTTGGAGGCAGTCATCAGGAAGCCCTGACAGACCTAGGTTTCTTGCTTGTTGGCCTTCGCCACCAAGGCATAACTTCAGTCTTGAAAGAACGCATGTCTCTTCTGAAATTTGAACACATATCGTCCAACCTGAGGCTTCTTATCAATTGCCTCCAATCACCTAATACCAACAATTCACAGTACATCGTCACCGCAAGCCACGTAGTATGGTGGCCAAACAGTGAAAACCTGACTGATAGAATTCAGTCCACAGAAAACAACGAACTAGGCGCATGACTCTACATAGTATCCAACCATGGAAATGTCATTGAAGATGATTCTGCTTGCTGGTGATGACTAACAGTCTAATAGATAAATTACCAGTAGAATTTTTATGAACACAAACTTTTTGTAACTGTTTCTCCTTTATTATAAATTATTTAAATTAATCCCAGTGTCTAAGAAAAAATCTAACAAGATTTTTCGGAATTTTTCGCTGTGTAAGTCACAGCTTTTTCAGAAGAATTATCCGGATTTTATTTGATCATCAAAATAAATAGTCTAACCTTCACATGTCTACTACTCTCTCCCCCCCCTATATAGCAAGCTTCACATTCTCAACACGTTATGCTATAGACACAATTACTTTCTGACATTTTGAGAACCATATCTTTGACATTCATCAAAGCTTTCTCTCTTTTGTATTCAGATAAATGCAACCTAAGGCACGCATTCAATGTCATCTTTTTATGAGATGAAGTCACTTGCTGTATGATATTTTCTAAATTCTATAATGATAATTGTCATTACCGTTTATCACTGGTTCGTGGGAGTCATTAGACTCAACTTCTATCAAAAATATACTCTCACTAGGCCTAGATATTCTCATTATTTCAAATTACTACATCTCTGAGAGAAAACATGGTGAAGACGAATTAAAGATAAATCATATCGATACACACAAAACTTAATAAGCCACTTCAGAAGGAAATCAATAAATAAATATCTGGGGTTAAATGCCAAATAGTGCGTCGGTGGCACAGCTGTAGTATGTTCGCCAGCCATGTCAGGTGGTCAGGGGATGGGTCCTCGCCCGATGCACTACTTTACCTCACCAAAACCAGTAATAAGACTGGTAAAAAGAGTGAAGGTTGAACATGAGGCTAGCAACCTCATCCTGTAAAAATAAACGCCAATAAACCGAAACTTCAAGCCTCTAGCTCGAGGCCCTATGTTCCACTAGGAACGTAGGGAATAAAAAAAATGCCAAATAATCACTTTCAAACATTGGAGAACGGGTGGCTTTTTCGCTTAACAGACTACCCATTCGACACTTCTACTCACAAATTCACACTTTTCTAATCTTTTTCTAATTAAAACAACAGGAAAGAAGAGCCAACACAACGAACGACTTATCATTTGACCTTGAGAAAATAATTGTGCTGGTCACATGACGTCTAGACGAATAAAAACGAATAGAAAAAGGATAGAAATCTTTATAACACTGTAAAATATAGGTTTTAGTATGGAGATAATAAACTGAACACTTATTCCTTAACCCTCATCTAAGCTAAATGCCAATAATTACCTAACCCTTATCATCCTACCTCATCTCTAAGCCCTAGTCTCAACTGTCTAAATGAATCCTGACCTGAATCTAACTGGAATATAGATTAGGATCGATTCAGAGAGTATGAGAGTTCATGAATAGAATGATTGACGTTTTAGGTGTCATCTGATAGATCGATCATCTGGGTAGCTAATCATTTTCTATAGTTTGGTTTGTAAGGGTTAGTTATGTTTTTACGAGTTGATCACTGACTGATATCATTTAGAGGACCATTGAAAACCAGCACTGGAGGACTCGACAGCTGCTATTTCGTCCTAGTTTGAGAATCATCGGAATTAATCACCCACAAGTAGAGTTCGAACCCAGGACAGCCCGGTTACAAGGCAAGCTCGTATACCACTCAGCCACTGGGACCCAATTCAATGGCTCATGAATTCTAACTTCTACTAATTCGTGATTTAGCGCGACCCCAACCATTATCGTTGGTAAGACATCCATCCACACACGTGACATCTAATTGGACCTCACAGGTCACAACTTCTCACTAGAACTCCAGGAAACTCCATCCTGTAGCGAGTCACTAGCGAGCATCAGAATAATTTTCTATAGTTTGGTTTGTTGATGGTTCCCAAACTAGGATGAAACAGCAACTGTCCATTACTCCCTAGTTTTCAATGCTTCTCTAACTGATATTAATCTCTGACCAAATCGTAAAAACATAGCTAATCATTATTGATATCATGAAAAAAATATTACATACAAAGGGAGAATTAACAACAAAGACCTCTGATAGTGAATCAGACAAGAACCTACTGCCCACTAAATATACCCAGGAAAATGGAAGTGGGTTCGACAAACTCTAAGGAGACCTTTGAGTGATGTAACCAGCCAGTGGTACCTGAATGGGAAACGATAAGTTGGGCGTGGTTCAAAGAGTGGCATGGAGAAGATTGTATGAGGAGGAGTCAATAGCTTATGGGCAATCAAGGCAGCCAGCTGAAAAGACTGCACAGTGAAATGTAGATCTGCAACTGAACTCCTGTATTCCATATGAATAATAATAACAATAATAATGAAAAGAATAACTCACCTCTTCGTCTGGCTCCCAATGACTGTCAACTATTACTTTTTCAATCTCAATATCCAATAGCTTACAATTCTGTTTATCATATTTAACTTTTAAATGTGAGAACATTTGATAATCACTACCACTTTTTAGAATTAAACGTTTCAGTGTTATTTTATCGTTATCTGCTGGTTCGTCAGTGTCATGTAGTAGTAGTAACGCTTCATCCAATTGTATCCATTCATATGCATAGTCATGATCATGTCCACCGAAAATAAGATCAATTTCTGGAACGCTGCTTGCTAACAAACGATCATTTGGCCAACGCATATGCGTTAATGCAATAACTAGATGACACTTTTGTTGTATTTTTAAAAATTTGCCAAGTTTTCTACCAACTTCACAAAAATCTTTAACATCCAGTGTAGAAGAAGTAAAGCATGGAATAGTTTCAACCCATTCCTTTTCAACTAAACCAATTATCCCGATCTTTAAATCATTATTTTTAATAATTTTATATGATAAATCTGTACCAATCAGAGTATTTGTTTCTGCATCATAAATATTACTATTAATCCATGGAAAATTACACGCATCAGCGCATTCTTGACAAACATCCAAGCCGAAATCAAATTCATGATTACCAAACAATGAACACTGGATAGACATTTTATTCATTATGGGCGGCATATGACGTCCTTGAGTTGCATTACTCACATACGAAGGGCTCAGACAATCCCCTGAGAATAAAACAATACTTCCTTTACCAGCACCATGTTCTTTCAGTGCTGTTGTAAATCTTGCTGCACCGGCTACAGGTTCTTGTTTTTGTTCTTCAATATTGTATACATCATTAAAATGTAAAATATCTAAACATTTAATATCCATATATTGTTAAAAAGAAAATTATCTAATACTAATTGTAAATCTAGTCCACTAATTTATATCTTTGATATTACAATTGTTTAATTATGATTGGTTAAAACTATCCTTAGCTGTGATTGGTTAAATTCGTCTGGGTTGATTCAATGAATGATCTGCATTTTTCGAAGGTGAATTAAGGACAAACACATCCTGTTGCCAAAATTTTCCATATAATCAATTTAAATTGAGCTTATTTTCTATTCTTTATAAAGCTTCGAGTAATAGAATGTTCTCATTGCGAAATATCAGTCACATTTCATTGGTGAACGTATAATTTCACATCATAATTTCAAAGTTCGGTGACGAATTCACATTAGTTAGAGAGATTATATAAAAAGCAATATGCGCTGGATAGTCGCTTCGTCTCACTCTGCTACTTTTCATCCATATGTACCCATGATTTCAACGACGACCAATGAATTCTAACTGCTGCTAATTGGTGTCATGTAATGCAGCCATAGTGAATACGTCTGAAGGGTCCCAGCCAAGGAAGAATCAGATGTCTGGTTCTCAAACGTATGTGACAGAATGACATAATTTGATACTGATAGAATCCTTCAAAACAAACACATAAACACTATCAGTTTCTCGCAGGTTTTTCTTCTAAAGTATTCGTCTGTAAGTTCTGAAGGACTCAGATAAATATCTTAATTTTAAAGAGTTTGTTTGTAGAAATTTGATCTGTTTCAAGTTTCATCACGGATTGATATAAGTTATAGAATCCTTTAAAACCAGATAGTATTGGACAGATGTTTTGTCCTAGTTGCGGAATCGTCGGCAATACACCCCCAATGGGTTTCGAAAACAGGACCTTCCGGTAACAACCTACGTTCACACAGTTTACATACTACTAAACCGGATCTCGATGGTTGAATGGTCTATGAGCCTAACTGGTAACCGGATTGTCTGAAGTTTGAACCTCGTCGGGTACATACTGACGATGAGTCCCACACCAGGGCGAAAAAGTTGTCCAGTCCCCCAAAATGATTTCCAATGGTTCTCTAACTGATACCGATCCGTAATCAAACTTGATTTAAATATTTTAAGATTGGTGACCTTTGAAAACCCGCAGAAAAAATTGAACAGCTTGTCTAAAATCACAACTCTGGATGAAACAGGATTCATTAGAGATCATTCGAAATCCACTTGCAATAAATGTACATTTAAGGTTGAATTACTGATTGAAAGAATGTTGTTGTTCCTATTGTGTTTGCAGCCTAAATCACACTTCGTGATATTTGGATTGACTAGAGAATGCTTAGTTTGGGCTTCTTCTAATTGACTGGCTGAACACTACTGGAGAAAACACATGAGTGTATGACAATAATCCTTTCAGTACTATTCCTATACTCACAAGACCCAGAATACAAACTGTAACAGTCGAAATTGTTTGACTGATATGTGCCCACAATTTATCTCATTAGTCTGTCAGTTTGATCTGTATGCACAATTGATCTGTAACCTCGTTAGTCTGTAAGTCAGACAAAAACAAATCACACGTAGTCTCTTGATGGGCACCAGCCAATCAGAATCCAGAACACGGTTAACGCCTACAGTTCAAGCCTTGTGCCTGGATCAATATATGCCATAAATTTTTGTACTCCTGGTCCCTTTCTTACCTCTTTTGAAAATACCCGTTTCCGAACCTATAGCGTGGCTCTTCTGAATTTTACTAGATCGGGTCAGAAAATGATCAATAAGAAATTTTTCAATACGTTCATATCGTAAATTAGCATTCGAGCTCACAACTGATGACACCATAACATTATTCCTCCAAGAAAACGTTAAGTGACCACAGGCGACAGATGTTTAGGTAATCATTTTTGCAAGTTTAAATTATAAAAAGGTGTGATATGGCTGGTTAGCACAGGATCAATAAGAGTTCATTGACACGACCTTTGACTAAGGTTAAAGCTGAATGCTTAGTCCATAGCTTATATGGTAAACACTGATTCGTAATATATCTTCTGTCTACCTTAACAATATTCGTTTAAATACAAGAGTTGCTGTATATATTTAATAATTCGTGAGGTTTGTTTGGATAAATATAACGCTTGAATAATATACTGGTAGGCCTCATGATCATGACATACTGTCGCACAACTCACCTCGGAGTTTCAACTGTATCATTTTGAAATCTGACATACAATAACGTAAACATGTGGACGAGTAGGAAGACATAATTTTTAAATACATTTATATAATCTGTGGGCCAAATATCTGTCGTAAACCCTCGTCTGGTGTAGTGTTGTGAAGGTTTTACTGGCCATTTATTAATATGTATGCGAGAAGACAGTGTTCCCAAATCAATATTAATAGACATCGATCTTGTGAATTAATTCCACGTAATCTCAATATAGATTTTTTTCATGACCTAGAATTGGTTGGCGAAATATCAAAAACCATGCAGCACTGAACCGCTGTTCGATACTAGTTTTGGGCTCTTCAGTGCTCACCAACAACCCCACGAAACTAGGCATCAGGCATTCGAAAGGATGAGTGTTGTGTTCGGGTCTCAACAGGAACACCAGAACTCTGGATATAGGAGTATTCAGCTAACAGATATTAAATACATTGAAACACGTATCCTGAATTGCACCACCTGAACGCATTAACCAAACAACATCATTTTCACTTGTTTTAAGACTGTACAGCCATCCACGCTAATAAATTGTAGTTGAGGTATCCTGTGTAGGTCTAGATGTTTACTTGGATGAAGCACCAAATACCGAATAGCAAAAAGTGGGTAAAAACCATCTTTGCTTGCTTTCCAATCATTTGATGACATAACTTACGTATCGTAACGGATATTTTTAACGCAGAGCCATCTATAGATTGATTGGAATGACTGTAAGATGGCTTACGGAATCTAATAACCGTCTGTATGGAAAATTTACCGAAGATTCATGTTACTGCGAAGCCTTTAAAAGAGGATGCCGATCATTGGGGATTATCTCACCAACATTTTTTTGATCTTCAAGAGTTCCTCTACAGGGATTTGATATGACTGGTCATAAAATCAAATCCCTGCCAAGCAATACTTGAATATCAGTCTGATGTTCACTAGTGACTGGCTGTATTCAGGTAGGCAGTTACCAGGGTTCTGGTACGAAGTCATGACCAGTTAGGTCCAGCAGGTCGAGTGTGACGACAGATACTCGCTAGTGGTCGTGCCATGTTCTGAACTGACATAAGTTTGAATTCATGAACCGGATCCCAGTGGCTGAATGGTTTACAACCTCCTGGTTTCGAACCCTGGAGAAGGCTGCGTGCTGCTGGACAACCCCAAACCGGGACGGAACATCTGCTTAACACCCCGTGGTTTTCCATTGGTCTTATAACCGATGTCAGCTCATGATGAAATTCTGTAACCAATTTTCTGGATCTGATGAATGATACCTGGTGCTAACGTTTTATTCGCCTCTTTTCTTGTAATCACTGAAAATTACTTATGGTTTCAATGAGAATATTCATTCAATATATACCTAAGGCAAATATGAATTTATGCATAATTGTCTTTTTCTTACCCAATGGACTTAAAGATTCTAAAGAGACTATGAGCTTTTTTAAATTTGATTACCGTTAATCTACCATCTTCTCCCTAATCTAAGAACTCGACTTCATATAATGTGAAGATTGTTCAAAGTGATTATCTCCGTTACAATGAAAAATACCTGTCTGTCTGACACCACTCTTTCATTACAAAACCAGGTTTTCATGTATAAGTGAAGTATATGGGAACTCACAGTTTGAGTGAGAAAACCACAATTATGTTGATTAATTAATAAGCCATAAATTGGCAGAATGAGAACTTTACATATCCGATTTGTGATTTATGACCACTGTTTAGTTCTTCGAAGAAGTTGTGAACAAATCTATTTCATTTATGCCACCTTCATTTAAGAAATCGATGTCGGTCTACGTTTAAAGCACAGAGGTTAGGACGCTCACCGACCATTCACATGATCCGGGATCAGATCCCTGGCAGACGCACACCTGATATTAAAGGTCGGCCTGTTAAACTTGGGCTACCGATATCATATGCTGAAAATTCCATACTTGTACAAAAATACTGTGTGTAGTCAAACTATAATAATAATTTTTTTTAAATTGACACCACACTTTTGTATGAAGACTGATAATTCTGTCCGTCTGCTATTAACTAACAAAAGTCAGTGTTACAGGATTCCATCATGAGATGATATTGGTTAGAGAACCACTGGAAAACCTGGAAGTACTGGACAACTGTTTCGTCCTAGTGCGGGACTCCTCACAGTACACACTCACCTGGGTTCGAACCAAAGACCTTCATTCCACTGCTCCCAGGTTTTCCAATGGTTCTCTAACCAATGTCATCTCATGATAAAATCCTGTAACCAATCAGTCGAATCCCTACAAACTAATACTTGAAAACTCAGTGTATAATTTATTGAAACTATTTCGAATTTCACGTCAACTGATTTTACTTATCGAGAATGCTCAGTCTTTGCTGATGTTTGTTTCACACAAGGTGGCCATCGAGGCACAGTAGCCAACTAAATGACTCTACGGCTTTTAAAACGATGGTTGATGGGTTAGAACTTCAGTGAAAACATTACCTCTCACTATTGGCGCACCCACCAGATAATTCCCTTAGGGGATCAGGCACGTATCATGAGTTACACAGTTAGCGACTACAAACGAAATTACGCGGCTGCATGAAATTTAAACTCACAGCTCGGCAGAATGACAGAATAGCTTAGCGAAACTCTCATCGGTTATCATTTGTAATGCCTTTTTATCACTTTCGAGGGAAAACTCCTTCACACTGAATCAAACATAGATTTATACATTGAATAAACAACTTCAATAGCAGAAAGGCTGTCGAGGGTTTTTCTGCCGTAGAATACATCAGCATTCTGAATTCAGATAAATTCCTGGTCGACGCAAACCATTTAAACAGTTTTAGGATTTGGGTTATAATCATTATTTGCTCTTTGCCTTCCGAGCAGATCGACAGGGATCAGAGGAACATACCCGGCGCATTTCGTCCCCTGCTATCAATTTCAAATAGCTCCATGACTGCCTAAAGGCTTTTATTACCTCCCAACACGATTATTATTATTATGCCAAACACAGACTCACGAACTTGTTACTTTCTTTTCAGGCTCTACTCTAAAGCCCAAAGTCTACCATCAATTGAATGTTTTCACAATATATTTTTAATTCACGTCCATTTCCATCTACACATTCGTTGGACAATAGATTTTTGGCTTGTTCGTTACCTGAGTTTCTCGCTGTCTATCCTTTCCGACCATTTCATCCACCGTATTGATGGAAGTCAAGTGTTGGAACCTATAGGAGTGACTTCCGATGCTGAGTCTCTCGACCATAAACAAGCACTTGCTTGACATTACCGTTGAAAATTCGGGTGCTGTTCTTTGTACTAAGTGCCTCAGATCTCCCAAATGATTCCAAAGTGATAAATACCTGTCATAATGTCCCGATCTGTGCTAGTTTCTACGTCCTCATCCATGCTTAGTATTTGAACAGTAATATAAATCTACCCCATAATAACACAACAGGCTTGATAAACAATTTCGGACAGTTATATAAATTTCCCTCTCCGCCCAATATATGAACAACAAAAAAATAGTAAACACAGAATTTCTTACTTCATTTTTAATTATAGAATATAACAAAAAAAGGATACAAAGAAAAGTTAATATTTTTTTCACATCAGATAACAGTAATTAAACATCTTTATGATGTTTTGAACTAATTAAAGAACTGAGTTAGACCAAATAAAGAGATCGAAAACTAAATATGTATTCATCAATGTGTATAATAAATTCTGGGGTGTGGTAAGCTGAGATTTTGTCTACTTCGTTATCTTTTTGTCGTCTTTGCCACTTTTCTCCTCTATTCATATTTTAAACTTTCAACTCAGTATAATTGAAAAAAGGGAGTCTTTGATTACAAAGGTTATGAAGGTAAATTTTGAATTATCTTCTCATTTATTTATTGAACACTGAATTTTTAAATGACACATTTAAACAAAAGTAATGATTTAAACTTAAAATTACAAAATATTATAATGTTGCCATCTAATGAAAAGTTAAAAGAATATTTTCTGAAAATTTCTTTGTTATTACGGCATAATTTGACATTATATATCCTTTTGATTTCTCCTATGACATCAATATTCCTCACCAAGCTCTTCTTCATTAGTATCAGTACCAACTTCTTCATAATCTTTTTCTAATGCGGCTAAATCTTCTCTGGCTTCAGCAAATTCACCTTCCTCCATACCTTCACCAACATACCAATGAATAAATGCACGTTTAGAATACATCAAGTCAAATTTATGATCTAATCTAGCCCAAGCTTCTGATATTGCTGTTGTATTACTTAGTGTACATAAAGCTCGATTAACACGAGCTAAATCTCCTCCGGTACAATACTTGGTGGTTGATAATTTATGCCAACTTTAAAACCAGTTGGACACCAATCAACAAATTGTATTGCACGTCTACTTTTTATATTTGTTATTGCTGTATTTACATCTTTAGCGATTACATCACCACGATATAATAGACAACATGCCATATATTTACCATGACGTGGATCACATTTAACCATTTGGTTAGCTGGTTCAAAACATGCATTTGTTATTTCACTTATAGTTAATTGTTCATGAAAAGCTTTATCAAAGGATATAGTTGGTGCATATGCAACTAATGGAAAATGTATTCTTGGATAGGGTACTAGATTTGTTTGAAATTCTGTTAAATCAACATTTAATGCACCATCAAAGCGTAATGATGCAGTTATAGAACTGACCACTTGACCTATTAACCTGTTTAAATTAGTATAACTTGGTCTTTCAATATCTAAATTTCGTCTGTGTAGAAAAGGAGAAAAGATGAGGAAAGAATAGCTGTTATTAGAATTTTAACATACTTTATGGGCTTAAATTATGTGCCATCTATTCATCTTTTCATCCTGCTATCAAATAGTTCTGCTTATCATATATAAAACAGAATGTGTCACATTAGTGACTTACATTTATGTAATAAAACACACACTGACAGTACCAATAACTGAATGATGTTTCAAATATAATTTAATGCTCATAATCATGTCAACCGATATTAATATGATGAAAAATGATGTTTTCAAGTATTGGTTTTTGTAGGAATTTTATTTGATTGGTTGGAGGATTTCATCATTGGCTGACATCAGTTAGAGAACCATTGGTTAAATCTGGGAGTATTGGACAGCTCTTTGATGTAAATTGTGTTCGTAATATCGTACTGTATTACTGTGTTCTGTCTCAAATAAACTTATTTAAAATTTAATTATATGGAAGAAATTTGAAGGAGATTACTTCTGCTAATTATTTGGTGAGGATCCTTTCAACTACAGCTAGATGGTACGGATAAAGATGTTAAAACCAGAATTCGAAAGGCAAGGGACACCTTCATTAATCTGAAGTCAGTCCAATGCATAAGATCTGCACTCAGCATAATGAACAAAGTCCGGATTTTCAACAGAAATATGAAGTCAGTTATTCTATTTTAGTCGAAAACTTGGTGTACCCATCACGAAAAGAATTTCCAGGCATTTCATTTAACAGTTGCCTTCACTGGCTCCATAGTGAAGATCAGATGGCCAGCCAGAAACAATTAGCGACAAGAAACTATGGGAACAAATTAACCAAGAACCGATTGCTAAATCAATGTTTACGAGAAAATGAAGATGGACCGGGTATGCTTTGAGGAAGCTGTCGGGTGACATCACGCATCAGGCCCTCGAGTGGAATCAAATGGTAAGTGACCGTCCGAGTACGACATGGAGGCGATCGTACAAGAAGGAGATGAAAGACTATGGGCAATCATGGAGCCATGTGGAAGTCCGCATAGAACAGGATAAAGTGGAGATGTGCTTTTAAAGGCTTATGTACCAATCGGAAGCCATGGGAACAGTAGTGATTATATATTCTGCCACAGTGCCGAAATTCTACTATTACATGTATTATGATTTTCCGTTATCGCGTTTCCTTGGACTGAAGTATATAATATTTCTTAACCAACCTTTCAGGAGTACACACTTATATAAATACGAATGAGTAAACAAGGCTGAGTGAGTAATTACAAACAAGGTGAATACCCATCTGAAAGTAGTGAAGATGGCATATACCTTACAGTACAATAAAATGGGGTAAAAGAACACTATCAACTTGGAAGTGCATGTTTCACTTCAAAATGATGTTGGCCAGAGAAATGACAACCAGTCAACTGCTGAAATTAACCTATTCTCATAAATCCTTCAAATAACAGAATAAGGGAGACAGAGATAGAGAGTCTGGACACAGATTAATTTAAGCCAGTTTGAAATGTGTCGTCGAACTGAACTATGACGACTTAAAAAGGTATATATTGCGTGTTTGTTTTCCAAATAAGCCTTGAATAACTCTAATAAACATTGCTAAATATGTGATTATTGGATGAAATACTTCGAATATCCGTAGAACTCTTCAATTTGTCTATGAATTGTAAGCAGTATACAATATGTATGAACTGTATATACATATTCACCTAGAGATAATTTTTGCCATTGCTGGCACTAGTGTGACATCTTAGATGGGAACCTTTAGTAGTGGATAGATAGATAGATGAAGTTAGGAAGAACATCGGTTGAAAGAAATTTAGACCAATATGAAAGACATAAACTGAAGAGAAAAGAGAAGAACATGAATACTTTGGGCAGTCTGGAATTTCTGCGTAAAGTTCTTACACTTCACCTTAACGTATGTAATTTTCACAAAATAATGGAATGAAATTTTTATTGTTTTCCGTTACACTGGGTGTACAATAAATAAATCAAAGACTGTAAACGTTTCATTGATTTATACTACTCTTAAGGAATTTTCACCATCTTCCTTGAATCCTAAAAGTCACTGAGTGAACAACAGTTTTCTTCACTACTATCTTTATTACTCCACTGGATAGTTAACAGTTCCATATTCTCAGGAGAGAATCCGCGTTTTTAATGGGTAACGTAGACAGAAGTTGTTATTGACATTCATCTGTAAGGGTAGTCCCTGGAAAATAAGGAGTACTTAACAGCTGTTTATTCAAAGTCTGACACTCTTCCGCAGTTAAAACCCACAACTCTTTGAGAAGTCAAGTTCGGAACCAATATATTTTAGGGCAACAACTTGCCTAGAAAGTTGAGAGTCCATCAACCATGATTAATGATAACCTTTTAGGAAGGAAATGTTGAGTGACCTCCATATTTAATAGCTCCCCTTTCTCCGATGCAAAGTTTTCTACCATATCTCCTTGAGGAATTTATGTCAGTTTATTTTCAATTGTAACAGTTAATTCAAAATTTTGTGTAGAAATTTCATAATCCAAATGGTAATATAATAATAAAGTCAAATCTGTCTCAGACAAACAACTTCATCTTACCGACATATTTCATAAATAGCTTCATTATCAACCATAAAAGCACAATCTGAATGCTCAAGTGTTGTATGTGTTGTTAATATTGAATTATAGGGTTCAACAACAGCTGTAGATATTTGTGGTGCAGGGTAAACAGAAAATTCTAACTTCGATCTTTTACCATAATCAACACCTAAACGTTCCATAAGTAATGATGTAAATCCAGAGCCAGTTCCACCACCGAATGAATGCAATACTAAAAATCCTTGTAAATTTTCACACTGCTCAGATAATTTTCTGATACGATCTAATACTACATCGATAATTTCTTTACCAATTGTATAATGTCCACGTGCATAATTGTTAGCTGCGTCTTCTTTTCCTGTGATTAATTGTTCTGGATGGAATAGCTGTCGGTAGATTCCTCTTCGTATTTCATCTAATTGAAAATAAATAAATAAATAAATATGAAATTAAACGAATACATTCTGAATGAATCAAAAAGTCAAAAAAATAGTCAAATCAAAAATTTCAACAAATTATTAGAGGAGAAATCTTCATCTCAGAATAATGAAGTCAACAATCCAGATTCGACGGTGATCGATAAATCAAAGTGGGTTATCAATCTCTCAACACATATATTAAGTCCTACAGAAATAAGTGTATTAGAAAAGGGATTAACTTTCAATGTATCAGTAGACAAACTGAAACCTGAAGATGTCATCCCTAAAATAGAAACAGCACTAAGTGGGATAGACAAAACAACAACAGCTGACGAAGTACGTGCCCTTACATTAAAACGACAAAAATGTGGAAAACCTAACCTGACAAAACAAGAGACACAAGCTCTGAAACACTTTGAGAATAACAAGGATATAGTTATCACAAAGTCAGACAAAGGAAATACAGCAGAAGTATTAGACAAATCAGACTATTTGGACAAGGTAAATACTCACATACAAACAGGACCATATGAGGAAATTAATAAATCAATAGATACAGTTATGAATAAAGTTAAGAAATCTACAACGGACCTTATACGCCGAATGAAGCCGTTTCTAGGTGAGTCTAAGTGGTTTAATTTAATGTCAAAAAACTAATAACCCCAGTGTTGTTAAAGTTCATAAGTCAGGATAGCCTATTAGGCCTATAGTTGATTTTAGTAATAGCTCTATTCTGAACAGTGCTTATATAATGTATAGAATTTTCAGGGGAGCTTATTGTATGAAATTTTCTCTTCGTCCAGGAGCTTCAAATAAAAAAAAGATTAATTGACAGTAGATCGTATGACAAAGTTCTATCTGACCTGAGGCGCAAACCAACCCAATATGATATCTCTTCTCCCTCTCCTTCAAGAAATACTCGGCGAAATTTTATTGGATGCCAATTATAAAATGTTTGGGAGTACATTTTGCGGATCAAGAACATCACTCAGGAACGGTCATCTCATATATTGAGATAAGCTGCCATCCAGAATAATGCTTTTTCTCATGTTTAGTAGAAATTTTGCGAATCAGCATGTTATAAATGTTTTAAATACTCACTAGATTAAACAAAAATAGTATTGGTGATCATGCCTTACTAGATTTAAACGAACTGAATTAACGAAGATATATGCAATACATTGATGGAAGTTTTCCATAACCCAAGTTTTAAGCAGGCCGCTTTCGATTAAACTGGATAGACGGCAAGAAAGGCAGATACTAAAAAGGTTCTGGTATCCCTAAATGTTTAAAGTAAGTCACTGAAGATTTTGCGTGCAATCATTAGCCTTCACCACATGTTCTAATTTTCAACCCGTAGTACTTGTAGACGATAAATGTGTATCACTCTAATCAACCTCTGCTTATTTGCACTGATTTTTCGGCATAGAACTTTGCTCAAAAGTGAAGTAGCTGAAGTTGCTACATTTCTTACAAAAAGGATGAACTAAACTAAACTATGATAAATAGCGATGCAAAGGAGAAAGAAAAATGAAGACTTAATGCATGGATAAATTCGCAAGACGCCATTACAAACACGCCAATCAGAATGACTTTGAGCTGCATCACCAGCAATCACTAAACCGTTAATTCTTATCATCTTGAGGACCCCAGCCAAGTATTCAACACCTTCTTACATGTCTCAAAGCAATAGTCACAATCTTCACAGTTAGGTGCCAAGTTTTGATTTCACTACTCATAACTCCTTTCCAACACAATCCCTGTTATCTGCCGTTTCCTGACAATGGCCAAGGTATGCCTCAAGGTTTCAGTTGCCATATACTTATCAGCTGGCTGCAACAAATAAACAGTTGATAAGCATCAATTCTGAAAGATTAATAGGCTTTTTGAGTGATACATGCATTTAGTTTCCTCAATATATACTCTTTTATACAACAAGAACAACAAACATTGTGGGATGAACTGAAATCAATTTCGCGCACTCTAAATCTTTCACAGACTCAATTATTTAAAAATTCGTATGCGTTGTGATAGTTTAAGAAACTATTATCAAATGCAAATAGATTGATACAGTTCACTGGAATTTTTACATCTATAGAGCAATAAAATTATGTGAACAAAATGACATACTTCATAACCTGATTATTCATTACAGAAAACAATTAAGCGCGAAAAATTGCCAAACCATTAATTAAAAATCAGTTTGGCACCTCTGTCACACAAATGCCACTTATTTGGTCAGTATATAACTAATATCCACCACATATCTGGCTATTATTGTACTGATAAGTGTTAATATTTTGTAATTGTAAGAATCTGAAGAGAATTTATTGTAAAAGAATATTCTTCGTTCAGATCGAATTTTAATTATAGATGAAAGTAAAAGTTCAGATTTTTTCGATTATAGCTCGATTCCACACCGTAATTTGGTACAAGTATGGAATTTTTAGCATGCGATATCGGTAGCCCATATTTTGCAGGTCAACCATTGATATTAGGTATGCGTCGGCAGCGGATCAGAACTCGGACTGTGTTAATAATCGGCTAGATTCCTAATCACTGTGAAACCGAACTACTGGAAAACCTTGAAGTGCTGGACAGCTGTTTCATCCTTGTTTGGGGTTCGTAACCAACAGGATCCACCAATTCAGGTAACAGTTACACTCCTATGGCAATGGGTGATGGTTGCGCTATGTATATCAGGAATTGGTAGAAGTTGGAATTCCTATGTTCTGGTGATTGGATGATCTACCAGCTTGACTTGCAACCAGAAGGTCCCTTGTTCGAACCCCGACTGTGGCTGCGTACTAATGAAGAGTCACAAACTAGGACGGAACAGTTGACCATTGCTGTACACCTAAGTTTCCCAGTTATTCTCCAAATGGTGTCAACTCCTGATCAAACCTGGAAACAAACAAGTCCCTGCAAATCAATACTTGATAAAAGTACATATTGTTATCAACATAGCAAATTATACTGAAAATTCCATCCAGACAAGGCAAAATAATAATCCAATATAATACAGACGGTGTGTCATCAGGGTTCAGAGTGGTAGAAAATCAAATATTGGAGAGGGAGGGTGAAAATATGACAGATATCTTATGATAAGTCAGTGAAATAATAGCAAAAAAGACAGTTAATAAGAAAGACTAAAAAACAAGATAATGGTAAAGTAAACATAATGGACAGTGGAAAATGTTGACGTGATGATCAATGTTTAAAGGATGATAAGTCGATAGAAAAAATAACAGAAGGGTAAATAAAGAGATTAAACAACAAAGCATTTCAAGGTTGACAACAAACCTCTTCCCACCCGTATAAGTTACGTTTCAATAGTTGGATTGTTGCAGTTGTTACGTATCGTATCAATTTACTCCTACTCTGCCTATTTGTCTCCTGGATTAATGTGTTGATAGGACCCATATCAACCGTATGTCTGCCAATAACACTGATGGATGACTTTGTACACATGATGTTTGTTATTCTTGATTTACATAAATATTATAAATATTATCATATATACCTCTTTAAGGTGACTGGTCCGTTTAAGGTCGTTTGTTGATTGGTGTCGAAAGTTTAACTTTGTCAAAGCAAATTATATAGGTTCGCGGTTAGCTGAAAATTTCTTGATATGTATCCATATATATACATATATATATATGTGTGTATGGTGATCTCTCTTTCTGTTGCTCTCTTAGTCTGTGACCATTTCACTTTGATGAACCTGTCTCTTTTAACAATGTATATTCCCCTTATATTATATATAATGTGTGTTTGTTTGACATGTCTGCTATATTTTGCTATGTATATATGGATCGATACTCCATCATAATTAGCCAATCATGTCAAGACTGTCTATTGATTTGTTCATTTTGTTTATTCGCTCACATACTTCTGTTCACACTCTTGTTCGGACATTCATATATATTTTGCTCTCACACACTTGTGTGACTTTATTGATTCTCTTTGTGTTTGGAAAATAGAAGTATCATCGCAAACCTAGTGGTCTTCTGATTTCCGTCTTTCTTGCGTCAGGACTATTAAATTCTTGACGAGTACATAATATTTCTCTAAGTTGATGACACTGCCTACAGAAAATTTTTAACACACACAGTAACAAACCAAATACAAACTAATTATGTTTACTAAGTTACTATGACCAGAAGTCACGGGATTGTCTTGCACGGACGCGTATCATTTCAATCATTCCAACTTTACAACAACAAAGAGTGATGTTGGTTGTCTAAAGGCTATCGACGTAAAGCTCTGCATCTAGGAATTGCGCATGTTGGCACTCGTCAGCATGCAGTATCTGTAAACAAGAAAGAAAAGACTTCCTCAGTCAATCTATCACTTGCCGCTGGTTGCCTCCAGCTAGCTAACATCAGTTCAGATTGCACTGCAGTTGTAAGTCATCAAGCCTGATGACCACAATGCAGACTTAGCCGACAGAATTCATTCAGTAGCACCACTTAAGACTGAACACCTTAGTGTGTTTACTACCTGGTAACCAATCAACCTTTAATTATCACTCCTCTTCGTATTTATTCTTCATCTTTTTATTATGCAAGGAGAGTAAACAATAGATTTTCTAAGTTAGCTTCATAAGTGGATTTCACAACAAACTTCTTGAACCACTCATTCTCCCTTAGATTTCTTCCAAATTGAAAATTTCTCTTTATTCATGAGGCATCTTACTAAACTACAATTTTAAATAAAATTATGATCAACATACTAACTAGTTCTGTAACAACAAAAGACAAGGCCGGAAACAGATCGTTTTATTACGGAAATCAGCACGTATTTATATATATATTTCATGTACATTACTATAGCTTATTCAAGTCTTCTGATTGGTTATTTCTCGGAAAGTTAAGCCATATATCTGCGAATCATATTTGCCCACGTTAAGTCTGCTGTGATTGGTTGTTGAATCAGCCTTGTTCATATTTTCTCACGGCCAATATTAGTGACCTAGACATTGACGTAGATGAATGTCTACCAATTGGCTAGCAGCCTGCTCTCACCACAGTTTTATAGTCCGCTTTCTGAAATATGTTATCATCCCATAAAATTAAAATGATTACTCATGTTAAATCTGATATTACTGCGAGCCTCGTTTGAATTCTCAGATTCCTAACCTTCATGGTAATAAAACTGTATTAATATGCATTATTTGTAGTTTCCTTATTTTGCAAGCAAACTTAGTAGAATTAACTAGGCTGTGTAGAAAGCATCCAGAATACAGTCGTGCTTAAGAATGGTTACTAATGTAGATAAATATAGGTATAATTATTATGCCGTTATAATATTTATTATTCACTTTGATTCCAAATAGAACATAGTGTGGTGAGAGCAGTCTAGATATGATAGAGAAGATTTGTAGCTCAGGTGGATAACCCTAACCACATCAAAATGAGAGCAGTCTGCTAGACAACTGGTAGACATTTATTTACGTCAATGTCTATGTCGCTAATATTGGCCATGAGGAAATATGAACAGGACTGATTCAACAACCAATCACAGCAGACTTAACGTGGGCAAATATGATTCGCAGATAGATGGCTTAACTTTCTGAGAAACCAGTCACAAGCAGTACAGAATAACCTTGAACAAGAAACAACCAATCAGAAGACTGTGTTTGTCCGCTTGAATAAGCTATAATAATGTACATGAAATGTACATAAATACGTGTTAATTTCCTTAATAAACGACCTGTTGCCTGGCCCTTGTCTTCTGTTGTTACAATAGGACTTCAGTAACACATTTCCATTTCTTCCTGTTCCCTGAATTCTTCTTCAGCTGGCTCTATGAATGCCCTTGAGTTTGTATTTCCTCCACGCACGGTCGCCTTAATATCACTCTAAGGCTAAACTCGTCCTTTCCCATTTTGAAAACACCCAATGGCCAGCGTATGATGTGATTCATCAGTTTTCTCAGCAAATTTTCAATCTATTTTAATTTTCTTCAGCATATTTTTGGGCGACACGCAATCAGCAGCTGCGTCGCAGAATTCCTTATTGCTTTTCTTTTCCGATGAACCATCCGATCTTCAGTATAGGGTGAAGGCAGCTGTCGATAAAAGCCTGAAGCCAGTTGGAAATGCTTTACGCGCGAGCTGAGCCACTGTACCAAATAAAATAACTGACTTGAAATTAATTTTGAACGCTTAAATCTTGTTCTCTTTGCTAAATGTAATACATTCCCTTTGTAATTTCAGGATAATGAAGGTTTATCTCACTGTCCCGATACTGCTTCTGACATTCTCATCTGTACCTTCTTTAGTTGAAAAGATGCTGCCTTGATAAATGCAAAAGATGACTTTTTTCGAATTCCTCCCGCTGATGGTGAATAATGCCTGTTGTTGTCGGTAACAAGGTATCTCCGTCGCTTCCGTCTTCTTTATCTTCACTTGAAGTTCTGTCCTCGTGCCTCTTCTGAAAACTTGTCAGTTTTCGCCTGTAGATCTTTGACTTTGTGTGACAACAAACATAAATCATCTGCGAAATCCAGATCTTTCAAATTCTTTATTTTGGTTCAATGTATACCCGTCTTCTCGCTCCCGACAGTACTTTCCACGGTCCAGTCCACTGCAGTCACAAATATCACCTGTGCCAAGTTATTGTTTGTGGCCCATTGTGAACCTGATAAATTTCCAGGGGCCACCAGGTACTAATTACTCCAAACAACTGTAAACAAAGCAATTCGCTCAAATTTGCCTGAAATTTGCATACAAAAGAAACAATTCTAAGCATTATTAATACACTGACCTAGTGTGGAATTGCTAAATTCATAAATACTGTATTACGTCGTAAGTTTTTAGTGTAACCTTTTGTCCTGTATGTGCAGACTCTCTATAATTGTTTTGATCCTTTATGTTCTTTATGGAACATAGGGCCTACAGGTATAGCTTTGCAGTTTCCTTAGCAGTTGTGTTTAATTTTGCTACATCTCTACCAGTCCTATTAATACTGGCTTAGCGAGGTAATGTGGTGCGTCGGCCGAGGACCGATCCTGGGGCCACTTGGCATGGCCGGCGAGCATTCTGCCGCCTGGCCACCGACGCAAACTATAGGTAATCAGCATTTTCAAGAAGTTCACTGTAGTCGAAATTTATCATGGGAATCAAATGAATGAAAATAGTTTCGTTTACTTTTAAGTTGCTTATGGTTTAAGTTCTTCTTTTTCTTTTATTTATTTAAAATTCTTCAGTAAAACACACAGTGATTCACCCTATTAGGTAGGTTGAAATGTTTTTACCAACAAATTTATGTGTTCTCTTGTTTAAATAGCCATAACAAATATGTTTTCTCAACTCAAACTATTGCTATATCAAACCTAACATTAGTTTGTAGAAGTCAAGTCACCTCAATGTTTTGTTTTTACTAGCAAAATCAGAATGTTCAATAATATTTAGCTTGCAGTACTGACTGTCCATATACTTCAATATATTGATTGAAATTCATACATTCTTTAATTGCAGTCAACATTTACAAGCATTGATACTTAGTGAATAGGCTTCATTATAACAATAAAATTGATCATAGTATATAATAAAAAGAGAATTGTTTGTTGAATACCTAACAAATACCTTTATCAAATGGCTACGCATTTATATTTTAATGAATAAAGGTGAATTTTCAAGTATTGGTTGTGTAATGATTATGTTTGATTGCATGGAGGATTTCATCGCTGACATCAGTTAGAGGACCACTGGAAAACCTGGAAGTATTGTATAGCTGTTTCATCTGTGCGTCGGTGGCACAGTGGTTAGGACTCTCGCCGACCATGCACATGGTCCGGGGTTCGAGCCCACGCCGGCGCACACCTGATATCTATGGTCGGCCTGCAAAACTTGGGCTACCGAAACCACTTGCTGAAAATTCCATACTTGTACCAAAAATACAGTGTGGAATCAAGCTGTAAATCTAAAAATCAAAAAAAATCAAATCCTAGTTTAGGACTCTTCATCAGTACTCACCCAGCGGGATTCGAACCCAGTACCTTCTGGTTACAAGGCGAGCTCGTATACCATTAAGCCATTGGGACCCGATCCGATGGCCCATGAATTCTAATTTCTACCAATTCACGACACAGCGCGACCATTTTGCAATGTCTTCGAATATGAGGTACTGCCTCATCTTCAACCTGCTGTACCCTACTGGTCACGGCTTTCCACTAGAACCCCAGGTTGACAGTCTGAATAGGGCCAGTCACTAGTGCGCATCAGATTAATTTTCAATTATTGGTTTCGTAGGGATTTTGTTTGACTGCATGGAGGATTTCATCATAAAGGTGAATATATGAGTCCAAGGAAAATACAGTAGAAAGATTTCGCCGTGATAATATTCAGTATTATTAAATTAACCCCCTAGAAGCTCTCTTCGTGTGGCCTATATTACTTTGAACGAGAATAAGCTTTCAAATATTTTGGAAAGGAAGAAAGTTTCATCAGCACACACCTGCCTGACAATGACGCCTACCTGCTATTTAAGCATTAATTTTTCCAATTTAGTCTTTATGTGAGAATAGACCATTGAATCTTAGATCCGAAGTCAGTCAGTTTCAACCTTACTGTGGTTGCTGTAGTACCTATTCCTTTCTTGTGAACTTAAACGACTCATTAACTTAACTGATCACAAGGAATTATTCTTACTTCCCAGACACAACTGGCAACTCAGTTAATCTAGTCAATGATTAACCACTACCATGCTAAAAGGCAAAAACCCCCTTGACTTATTTTAGGTTAGGAGTGGCCTTTTGACATCAACTACAGTTACAGAACTGCTGTTTACCTATCATATGAACCTCTTGTCACGTTGAGGGGGAGGGGGCACTGAAATCAGTCTGCCTTCACTTATCAGTTAGAATGAGAATATTGAAAGTATTTAGATTATGGGATTTGTGGAAATTTGGATTAATTCCATATGATGGATTTCGTCACGAAATAACATCAGTTAGGTCTTTCTTCAGAGAAATACGGCTATTGTCCTGAGATATGCGTTTAGCCTTCACTTCAGTAAATATAAACCTCATATTTTTAACAAACAGCTGGACGCTTAACGATATTTCATTTATTGTTTTCAGTTTCCTTAAAGTCACTTACTCACGGGTATAAGAACCAATACACAACAGCAGTTCGCCTAGGTTTTTGGAAGGATTGACAGTCTTCCAATGATGCCTGAGTATGGAAAGCTCTATGACCCTTAACAGACTACTTTAGATCAATATTTATGGATATACCTGACAACTAGACTTACCAATAACTGTAGGTTCCAGATCAAGAAATACAGCTCTTGGTACATGTCTTCCGGAACTGGTTACACTGAAAAATGTTTCAAATGAATCATCAGCTGGTATTTCTTCGTGTGGTTGCGCTAATCCATCTGGACAAATTCTGTGCTCCAAACAATAAAGTTCCCAACATGCATTTCCAATTTGTACACCAGCTTGACCAAGATGAATACTTATGCATTCTCTCTGTAGAATTATACATAAAATTCAGAATAATGTTGAGACATCCGCTAACCGAAACTAAATTTTTTTATAACTCAAAATCAATATGAACTATTTCAATAAATTTGTCTATTCTTTTTAAATGTCCACATATTGTATCATTCTCAATGTCTGGAAGTTAGTTAAAATATATTCTGAAAATTTGTTTTCATTTTTTTTTAAAGTTGAAACAGTTATCAAGTTTTGGTTAGCAGAGATTTTTTTGGGTACAGGTTTAGTCAAGAGTTGCTACTGTTAGATAACCACTGTAAAATCTGGAGGCTGCTGGACCACTGTCTAGTTTGAGCCTGAGACTTATCGGCAGTACGCTCCAACCGAGGTTTGAAAGCAGGACCTTCCAGTTACAAGCCGAGCTCGTAGACCAATCAGCCGCTGGGACCCGGTCTACTGCTTCATGAATTCCAGCTTCTCTCAATTTGTGATATGTATAGCCACTCGGACACCAGTGGTTGAATGGTCTACAAACTCGCCTTCTAACCGACATTGGCTGCGTAATGATTAGAAGTCATAAGCTGGAACGAAGCAGCTATACAGAAGCTCCACATATCTTAGTTTCCAAGTATTGGTTTTGAAGGGATTTTGTTTGATTGGTTGGAGGATTTCATCATGAGGCGACATCAGATAGAAGACCACTGGAAAACCTGGGAGTATTGTACAGCTGTTTCATCCTAGTTTAGGACTCTTCATCAGTACTCACCCAGCGGATTCGAACCCAGTACCTTCTGGTTACAAGGCGAGCTCGTATACCATTAAGCCATTGGGACCCGATCCGATGGCCCATGAATTCTAATTTCTGCCAATTCACGACACAGCGCGACCATTTTGCAATGTCTTCGAATATGAGGTACTGCCTCATCTTCAACCTGCTGCACCCTACTGGTCACGGCTTCCCACTAGAACCTTAGTTTTGTTAAGTTCTGATCAGACATTACAACAATTACTCTGAAATTTTACGATTAAGGGATTTTGCTTAGGAGAAAAAATATACCTTTACGGGATAAACTTCCGAAGATGAAATTCGATATTTTGAGAAAATTTAAGGTTTGATATTTTATCAATACTATATTTGATAAAAGCCGACACCGAAGATGACCTGTTCACTACTTTTAGCTAACGAAAATACCTCTCATAGAATCAAAGTAGTCAATATCACAGTATTGGAAGGCTAATTTGATTAACTGATGTCGAAAACATTATTCAGTAGAGTTACAACACACTGTAGAATTTCTGTTTTGAGAAAAATATATAGGATAGACTCCTTGTGAGTCTTCTAGGAAAAAGAATATCCAGAGAACTTTATTGAAGGTTATCCGTCATCAGTTCGACAGAAGAATACAAAATCATCCTCTGAAACGACAGGGAAAATCATTCTCTTCTGTGTGAAGAACATTTCCTAAATCACTACCAGAATAGTGGAACCTTTTAAAACAATTGTCGCCCCCAAACCTATGCGGTATTTTCACTCCATACTATGTAAACCAAAAGACTTAACAGAGAAAGATCAAACTGACCACATTTATACAATAGACTATATGAAATTCTAAAGAGCACCATATCTGACAACAAAACAAACTCTTTCCATATTCGCATACAAGAACAGAAACTAGCAGTCGGAAGACATGATAGGCGTTTGTTTAAATCAATCTACGCTCAAACAGGATAATGTAAAGTTCATCAGAGAATTCCCGGAGTCCTGGTATTCAAGTCACTATGGTACTTTTAAACGTGTGGATGTGGGTTAAATTTATAAAACAATAGAAAATAAGTCCTACGATCACAAGGTCAACCAGATTATTGGTATTTAAATATGCGAATTTAGTCACTAGGATATTCAACGTGAAAACCAATCATAATGACGGTCATTAGGTGACACAAATATTTCAGTCATGCATTCCTGAATTCCGATTCATTTTGAAGATACAGTCTGAGATTTTTTCCTCAAGGCTAGTGAAAGCTTTGTAATTGAACTATCTAGCTCAGAGAACACAACAACACCAAAAACATCCCACCAAATCAAAATCGTTATCTGTTACTCACAAGAGCTGTCAATTCAGGAGAACAAACTGAAATGGATTGCAACTACAGATTGTAGGTCACTGATTTTCACAATGTCATCAGTTAATGAAGTAACAAGAAGTTGTGTCTTAAAACTAATAATAAACTTCGATTTACATATTAACTAGTCATTTGTAGTACATCAAAGAAATACTCCACGTGATGACTCATTCTAACTCTGTTTTCACACACATTGATTTCATTGTTCTTTAGACCTATTTTGAGCACATTTCTAGACATTCAGGTGACATCGAACCTATATTTAACGAAATATGTAAACCATTGAATTGGAATTAACAAAATCTGGGTCTTGGTGGATGGTTACTAGCAGTCGAATCCAAGGTGTGCATTTCGTCCTATGTGGGACTCGTCAACTAGATATACCTTAATTCCCTAGTGAGTGATGGTGTTCCCACGAAATGGGTATCCTGGACTCCACTGCAAGTCATCACCCACCAAAATACTTCAAGTTAAATCCTCAGACATTGTTGAAGCATCCGCACGGGGAGACAACATGTTGACAAATGACGAACACTTCGGTCCAATCAATCAATGAGACGTCCAAAATGAATTAAACAAAACTAGGTTTATTAAGCATGAAGATATATACCACTCGTGAGTAGACTTGGATGGAAACCACTCACATCTAGCAGTGCCATTCAGAGAGAAATGATTTAAACACTGAATGGCCTTTTTGCTCGTTTGCGGTCAGGCACATCGGCAGTATACCAAGAATGACTCAGCTCAGAGTTCTCAAGCATTTTGCTTAAACTTTACATTATCATGTAATAACTGACAAGGATTTCATGATCAGTTAATCCTAAATACTACCCATTTATAAAAAAACTTTTAACACGTAAGGATTATTTTATATAATTTTATAACAACACAACGTTTATTACATACCATTTTTGTTCGATAAAAAATTTACGCTCTCGTGTGAAATTATTCCTGAACTTTATATATCTTCCAAATTTTATTAATTAATAAACTAAAACTCGAAATAATAATGTATCTGATAATCCACAACGTATACAGAAATAATTAATTAGTAAGTAAAATTTAAAATCTCACATTGAAGAATGATCAATATTTAAGCCTTCTGGTTAATCAATACTCGTATTTTATTGTTAAGCATGATATCTCTTTTTTAATCTTTCTGTTACAAGGTCGTGTGTAAAATATAACTTCCGTGATAAAAGATCACACGAGGAACTGGCAGAGAACCAGTCAAGAAACCACTGTTTTACAAATATGCAGAAGGATATAGAGAAGAATTGAACATACGCTTGGAAGATATTCAATGGACACCAGGCCCTTGAGTGGAACCTGGATAAGGAGCTATGATTTTCGAGTCCATGGTCGATTAGAGGGGGGTTATGTGAAGATGAGATGAAAGCTTATGAACAGTCATAAAACCAGCTGAAAGTTATAGCAGAAAACTGAGTACATTCAAGATGTAGTGTTGAAGAAAGGCCTGTATCGAAGCCATAATATGAGCAATGAATAACAACAATAATAATAGTAATAATAAAGGAAGGATATATTACTTTTTCGTTTTCAGGAATGACAAGGTCTGGACTTTGTTCTTTCTTAATATGGTGGAAATAAAGACTAAGTATACAAGATTTTTTCAACAGAAATATACCAAACATAAATTATAGAATCAGGACACTGAATGGTATTCAGTTGTTTACTACCTTTTGCAGAGCGATTACAGTCTGAAAGTAAGTACCCAGTGAGGTTGAATTCAGACTGACCATATTTTTATTATTTTTTTACTGTTTTACCAGTTAATTAGGCTTTTGCAGTGATTTTAAGGACCTTATAGATGTATAATTACCTATTACTTTTTTTTCCTTCACGTTCCCCAGTGGAATATAAGGGTTCAAGATAGTGGCTTGAATTTTCTGTAGTAGTGTTTATTTTTACAGAATGGGGTTGCTAGCCTCATGCCCAATCTTTCCTCTTTACCAGGATTATTTCTGGCTTAGCGACGTAAAGGAGTGCGTTGGCCGGCGATCGAACCCCGGACCATGTGCATAGTCGGCGAGCGTCCAAACCGCTCCGCTACCGACGCACTTACCGCGAGCTCTTGATATAGCGACATTCACTTCAGTATCAAAATATAATATGGACCTAAAATTCTTGTCAAATTAAGATGATGCTAACTATGCGCTTAATTTATTAGACAATTGGCTTTCATACAACAGATCCGTCTATTTTAAATCAGGTAACCAGTCATTACTGTCAGCTCTCGTACACAGCCCGAATATTCAGTCTACAAGAAGAAGGTATTAAATGAAACGAACCTGGAAAAAAGAGAATCTATGCCCCAAAATCTCAACCAACTGTTCTGTCCCCACAGTATTTGCCCAATTTTCTGCTTCATCAATCCCACGTGTATTAAACCTGGTTCCAGGATGATTACTTGCACAATATCTATTTAGAATAATAAGCACCAATCGAGCGGAATTTTCGAGAGAATTCCTTGTTTGCAATTCGCTGTGCAATATTAGGAAAGACAAACATTTGCAAAATGTTAATCAGTACCCTGAAAAATCTTTTAAGAACAGATGTCTACCCAAGTTTACTGGTTTTTTTGTAGTAAATAAAGTATATCTTCTGACTGTTTTCACGATAAGGAGTATTTATTGTGCATGGCATGCAATCCCATGTTTGAAGAATCTATATTGTACAAAATATGCACTAAAAATTTAAAAAAACTGATCAGTGTAGGAGGAATTTTCTTCCTGGTAACTTCTACCTCAGTTTCTACAGTTATATTAATTAAGGAAGAATTGTTACTTTTCAAGATGCTCGCTAGTGATCCTCTACAGGACAAAGTTGCCTGGAGTTCTAGAAGAATTCGTGACCATTGCGGTTCACTCTGTCAGGAATGAGAACAAATACTCGCCAATAACACTGGTTGGTAGTCGCGCTAAAATCATGAATCGGTAGAAGTTAGAATTCATGGGTTTGCCATTGAATCGGGTTACAGTATCTGAATGGTCTAGCAACTTAATTTGTAGCTAGATGGTCCTGGATTCAAAACCATTTGAGTATATACTGCCGATGATTCCCAAGTCAGGCGGAGATGGCTGTCAAGTACTCACTGGATTGCAATAGTTCCTTAACTGATATCAACCTGTGGTTACACTGTGTCTGCTTCTTAGAAGGGAATTAAAATTGTTCTTCTGTCTAAATCACCAAAAGGAAAAACTGTCAAATTCAGATCTACCTCTATTACTTCACCTATTTTAAGCATAATGGAAAGACTGCCTTAACTTAACCTTGAGCCTTAACTGAAGACTTGTAAATACCTTAATAAATTAGCTTATAAAAGTAGTAACATAAATTAGATGCCACTGTCGTCCTACATCAATATATTGTCTCTAGCTTAGATAATTGCCAAATATTTTCGGTGTGCTTCCCTAGATTACACATCTGCCTTCGAGCCTCTACCCAGGCCTCTTTGCTAAACAAGCTTGCTGCGTCACAAGCACACTGCTGCATTCCTATTTTTCTGATAGGTAGCAGGACACTATTTACAATGGGAAGTCCTCCACTGTTTCATTTACTCTAGCTGGTGTTCCTCAAGGAGGTATTGTTTCTACTTTTCTGTTTTCCTTCTTCTTACATTACTTACCTCATTCTGACGAATCCAGTTTTGTTAAGTATGCCGATGATCTGCCTGTTCCTATGCTCAATGACTTCTCAGTCAGACTGTTCCAAAATAAATAACTTTTTGTGAGAAATTAGTCAGTGGTCCTCATCAAATGGCTTTGATCCCTTCAAATGTCAGGTTGTTAATTTCGCTTTCAGACGCAAGCACTGGTTAGTTCGCATGGTCTCACTATCATAGATGACACTGAAGCTGAAGATAAGTCGAATGTTAAACACTTCAGATTTTGTATTTCTTCTGATCTTTTCAGGGTTTTCCCACGCCATCTTATTTTCCAGAAAGACACTTTGTTTGATGTCCTATGTAAAGAAGTTAAGACGATACCTATCTCTCTCCACCGTTACCACTTGTTAATTCTTGTATTCTGCCTATATTTCTTTACAGTTCTCCCTCAATCTTTCCCGGACTATTTAAGAAAGACTTTGCTATACTGCACAGGCTCTAAAAGCCATCAGTAGGGCGAGAGGAGTGTTGCTAGAATAACTCGTTTATGCTGTTGTAGATAGTCACTTGGATTCCTGCAAGAAATTAGCGAACATTATCCTGTCAGACTATGAACATCTTCTCCATACACAACTCTCTCCTTGCATCTCGTCAAATAGAACTAGAAGCAACTGTATGCTCGAACGACTAAGTACAGAAACTCCATGGTACCTTATTTAGCAGGAAATTACCAGTTTACTGAGGAAGTCTAAGTAAACGGCATTATTTTCTGTTCTCATTGTTACATTGTCACTAAGATTTTCACTTGATTTAATTTTATATTCATTTCTTATCGAGCGATACTGTTAATGTAAATTATTATTAATGTAAATGCCCTGTTTTAATTATCGTCTCTATGATGAGGAAGTTAGATGTAATATTGTATTACATGCTGAAAATCCCATATTTGTACCAAAAGTATTATTATTTATTATTGTATCCTTTAGTTCCTAGAGGAACATAGGGCTTCAGCTGCGCACCTCCATTGCCTTCGGTTTTCTGACAACTTTTTCACCCTGCTCCAGGTCTGTCCACATGCTTTCATCTCCTCCTCGCATGACCTCCTCCAAGTCACCCTTGGACGACCAACTCGCCGCCTCCCTTTCGGGTTCCACTCGAGCAATGGCTTGTCTAGTGATGTCACTTGATGGTTTCCTCAGCGTATGGCCAATCCATCTCCATTTCTTTCTGCCTATTTGTTTCACAATCGGTTCCTGATTGGTTCGCTCCAGAGATCCCTGTTGCTGATCTTTTCTGGCCATCTGATCTTGAGTATTGAGCGGAGACAGCTGTTAATGAAGGTTTGGAGTTTGTTTGAGATGCTCTTTATGACTCGCCAAGTCTCTGATCCGTATAGTAGCACTGACTTCACATTGGAGTTGAAAATCCGGATCTTATTTTTGATGCTGAGTGCTGTTGACCTCCACACAGATTTGAGAGTAATGAAAGCTTGTCTTGCTTTTCCGATTCTGGCTTTGATGTCCTCGTCAGTTCCGCCTGTAGTTGAGACGATGCTTCCCAGGTAGGTGAAGGAGGTTGTTTCTTTCAGGTTCTTCCCACTTATGCTGATTGTTGTCTGTTGTTGTTGCTGTTGATGTTGGCTAGGAATCTTCATCATCTCTGTTTTATCTATGTTCACGTGAAGTCCTATCTTTGATGCTTCTTCTGCCAACTTGTTACTTTTCACTTGCATATCTTCCAGTTTATGGGAAATCAGACATATATCATCGGCGAAATCCAGATCCTCCAAGTCTTTTGTGTCAGTCCATGTACCAAAAGTACCTGTTTGGAATAAAGCTATTATTATTAAGTAATTTTTATTAACACCATTAATACATTTTTGATAATATCGATTCCTTGTGAACAAAAATCAGTAGACTATCACTAGATTAAAAAAAAGGGAAGAGAGGAGTTTATAATAATACGTGGAAATATAGCACTAAATTGACCAGCAGACATCAAAGTAAATGATCATGAATAATAATGACTATCCATCCAATCGTGAATACTGCTGATTACTGTTCGAAATGAACCCTGTTCGGTGTGTATGTGAACATCAATAGCATAGAAAGAGATAATGGAGTAAAAACTTATGTATGGCTATAATAGGAAAATAAAGGACTTTTAGGCAAACAGACAATGTAACCAACCATACACGTAGACATTTTTACGAAGAAAATTACCACTTATCAAGAGGGTATGAGGTTAGATGTAGTTCAGGATAAAAGGCTGTATTCAGAGT